TCCTAACCTGAGCCCCTAGTCCTAACCTGAGCCCTTCATCCTAACCTGAGCCCCTAGTCCTAAGCCGGAGGTTACACAGAGGTCCGCTATTTTCTCAGCTGGTTGGTCTGGGGGTGGTTTTCTTCGGGTTTAGCTCTTGTCTTTCTGTTCGTTTATTTGCTGATGACAGGATCGCCCCCTGTAGTTCTTGGTTCTTAAGGGCATTTTCGAAATGACTTGAAAGGTCATTCGAAAGGGACGTATTTTTGTACACTCATAAAAGCATGCTAGCTCCTCTTGAATGTTTCTGTTAGGAGCGCTGTGCTTTCCATATGCCACCTCGTTTCTTTCTTACGGAAGTCTCTGTGGTTGGTCTTGTTTAATTAAGCTCTTTTTGTTTTTAATTTAAAAAAAAAAACATTTGGGGCAGGCTGTGAAATATACACACGAGAGACTCCGCCGCCTGCCCAGCCATTATGTCACTGCCAGCACGTGTGGTTTCCTTCCTGAATTTTCTCTGGGCCTCCCCAGGGACTTCTCATCTCATCCCGTTCCCGGCCACGGTCCACTTTCTGCACTTGACCCACACATCTCAGTGGCGCCTCTGGAGAGCCACGTGTGTCTCCTTACTGTGCTCGCGGGTGTTCTGCATCCGCAGTCCTCATTCTTAGATTCACGATGTCCCCTTGTTGAAGAAACGAGACCCATCCTGCCTCCGGGATTTGGTGAGCAGCGTCCTTGCGTTCTCGTTTGCTCCTCTGTCTCTACATTTCCCAAGCACTGGGCGTTAGTTCTTACAGCTGGAGGAGTTTCAGTCAAATACATCTGGCTGGAACCCTCCCTCTGAGCGCTTTCTACTTGATCAGGACGCCGGGTTGAGTGTGGAGGTGACACCGTAACTTTCTGACCTTTCCACGGTGAAGTCAAGTCCTGTTGCTTTGTCTCTGCAAACGCCCTGCTCCTGGAGGGTCTCACACCAAGACAGCCTTGGTCGAATGAACCACTTCTTTAAAGGCCGGACAGGAGAGGTCTGCTGCGCCACGTGGGTCAGCTCCCTGGCTGGGGGTTGAACTCCTGTCACAGCGGCTGCCGACAGCTTCACAGTGCTGTGGCTTAACTCTTTGTGCCATCACAGAGGCCCTAGTCAGGATTTTCCAATTCTGTTATTCCTGCTCCATCACGAGTCATCCCACCCCTGTAAGGTAGCACTTGGCTCCACCTGCATGGACTACCTGGCCTTCCTGCTGGACAGCAGGTGACATGCCCAATTTTTCACTTGGGTTTCTAGTTTTTGAGTATGAAATTGCTTGCCTGGTGTTCTCGCACAGAACTGCATTCCCTTCTTCCTTCTCTTGAGTATTGCTTATAGATTTACGAAGTTTCATCTGCGCATTATGTTCTGAATCAGTATAGTCTTTTACTACCCAGCAGTGACCGCACTGGCCAGTGGATACCCCTTTTTGAGATGTTTCTTTTGCCTTTTTAATGCAACCTGCTTACCCGGGGAAGCTGCCCTGCTTCCCTCATGGCAGGATGGTGCAGGTGTGCGAATCTGCCATTTCTCCACGGACGTATGCCTGTGCCTTCCGGTGGGTAGTTGGAGAAGCCAGAGATCAAATCACTAAAGGTTGCTTCTGAGACCTTCCCTCAGCAATGGACAAAACAGCTCAATATCTTTCTAAAAACTTGATATTTTTGAATTAGTCGTAACATCACATAGTTTTATTTCCTTGATTGAAAAATGCCTTTCTTCTTTTTCACCAAATATACTTCCTTGCTTTTTCCTACAATATGAAAGAAATAGATTGTTAGTAAATTGGCTTTTGCAACTCTGGCACCTGGGGCTTTTTAGAAGAGGCTAAGGAAATATTTCACACCAAAAGGATATCGTTGCCTTTCCTATTCCACTGACAAAGCTCTTCCTCTCACAATAAAATACTGTTATTGTCTGAGCCTTGAAGCCATTTTTGAGTATATTTAACTTGTTAAAAAAAATTAAAGGTAGCTGGCTGCTACCTTTGTGGAAGCCGCCAGGGCTCACCGAGGCCAGGTAGCCCTCCAGAATGGACACCAGCCAGCTTGCGAGCAGGTGGGATCCCGCCTCACTCAGCGTCAGTGTGTTATCCAGCAACCACCAGGCCCTACGAGACATGATTTGCACTGAAGCATCACACAGAGCATCAATTGTGGGGGGGCTGTCCAGGCAGTGACATTACCCAGACTTCTGCTCGAGAGATGTGGCGGAGCATCACCACTCTGGACTGTAAGCCCACAGCAGGGTGTCAGCGTGGCGGGGAGTGAGCCCAGGGCCAGCGAAGACCCCATCCCAGGCTCCCGCCAGCTGTTCCAGTTAGAGAACATAGCGTGTGCCGGGTTTGTGCCACCCACATGCCCAGGCTTGCCGGGCACGGCTTGGGCTTGCCTCTCCCGGGCTAGTGCCCACTGCTTGCTCCAATTCCCAGTGCTGTCCACACGCCTGCAGACGCGCCAGGCACCTGCAGAGCTGGACGTGGGTGCGTGCTGCAGCCCCCCAGAGGTCGCACGTGATGTTTGCCTGCTGGGCCAGTTGTATCTGACAGGAGATGGCTGCACTGTAGCAGCGCCTGCCTGGGAAAGACTCTCTTATTTAATCGCCTGACCGGTTGCTCTAGCAGCCCAAAGAAGTGAAGGGGCAAGAGCTGCCTCACTGCCCAGACTTGGATTTGTTCGGATGTTTCAATGCCTTGTGATACAGTAAACCCAGAGGGAATTTTTAATTTCAGTGGTTGCTGTGCCCTGCCAGAATATGCAGGGGTAAGTTACTGTCTCGGGCACTCAGGGTGATGTCTCTGCATACAAAGTGCAGCATACTGCTTGTGTGAAATGACAGCGGCTGGGGTCTTGCTTTATCTTCGGTGTGGTGAGTTTACACCACAGTCAGCGAGGGCCCCAGGCCCGCCCTGCCACGGGTGCAAACTCTCGTTCCCTGGTCTCCGCCTGCCCTCGGCTGCTCCCTGTGGACAGGCTGCCAGGACCGCCCGCCCGCCGCTGATGCCCATCTCTGCTTATGTTGCAGGTACCTGTTTGCTCTGCAGGTGAAGCAGGACCTGGCTCAGGGCCGGCTGACGTGTAACGACACCAGCACTGCGCTTTTGATCTCGCACATTGTACAGTGTAAGTCGTCCCGGCTCCCCGCAGCGTCATGCGGGAATATCGCCTCGACCGGGCTGAAAGGGGATCACTGACACCCACTGGGAACAACCCTCACATTTTGTGCTGTTTGCTGTTGGTGTGAGCGCTTCCGTGTAGAAAGCGGCTCCTAGCTTTCTGCTGTATTTTATTCTTTTAAAGATTTATTCATTTATGCATACAAGAATTGGGGTTCTGGGGCCAGAAGTGCAGGCTAGGCAGTAAGAGGATTCACCAGAGACAGAGTGGGGAGCAGAACAGGCAGAGGTACTGAAACAAACTGCTGAGGGGAGCAGCGGGCGGGTCAGGAGAGGTCTGCTGCCCATGTGGTCACCTCCCTGGCCGGGGAGCAAACTCGTGCTGCAGCGGCTCAGATTGCTTCATAGTGCTGTGTTTTAATCCGCTGCACCACCAGGGAGGGCCCAAGGTGCACCTGCCTGCAGCCCATGCCTCCCGCCCTCTGGTCTCCTTCTCCTCCTATCACAGGGTCCGGCACACTGTTGATACCTCACTTGTCTCAAAGGAGAAGCAGGATGGACACAGTCAGGTAGATTAAGCCTGATCTGCCCGTCCTCTTGGGTTAACTTTCGTCGTTCACCGCGTTACTGTAGCTGTGAGACATACACCTGTTGGAGGCTTCTCTGCTGTCTCCTCTGTAGAACTCAGAGACGCAGGAAGCTGTTCTGAATAGTGATCTTAGAAATGAGATTTTTTAACTTTCTCAATCTAGACAAACTTCCAAGGCTGACCACACACCTGCACATTTGGGTTTCCGCTTAGCCACAGCAGAAGGCGCTTGAAGTAGACTGTACATACATTTCAGGAGAGGAGTCTCTGCGTAGGTCCACTCAACATCCACAAAGATGTGCGCTCCTTCCATTTTAAAATGTCCATCCCACCTGCCACCTGCCCAGTTGACAAGACTCCCAGAGGTTTATGGGAAGTGTCTGTCCTGGTGGTGACCTTAGTCTCATAGGACGAGGCATTTCTATAGATGGTGCTTAGCAGCTTCTATTTTGTATGCAGCCATTAGTGAATATCTGGCAGTCTTAGCAGATGGGTATTTTCTTATCAATTTGAAAATAACGACGTGAGAAAAGAAAAGCAGCCCACACAGAAGTATCGTCGTCAAACCTGGGTTCCAGGACTGCGTGTTACCTTGTTTAATCCTCAAAGCAACCTCACCAGCTCGGGGTCGTGACTATGCTCGCTTCACTGATGAGGATTCTGTGGGACACTGAATCCCCTTTTCATGGTGGTCTCCTGGCCTCGCCTGGTGGTAGTGGGAAGAGGGAAAAGAGTTTGCGTCAGGCAGACCTGCGACCTGTGAGTCGATGGTTACAGCAGGTTTCTGAGCCCCCAGCTCGTGTTTCTTTTAGAACTTGAGGACAGGCCAGGTGTGCCACGGGGTAGGACAAGTACTGTAAGCTGGCCGCAGCCGCTTCAGTGCGAGTTTGATCACCAGCCCCGGAGGTGACCCACAGGGCGCTGCAGACCTCTCCTGACCCGCCCGCTGCTCCCCTCAGCAGTGGACTTCGTCAGTCGGCCTGTTCTGCTCCCCACTCTGTCTCTGGTGAATCCTCTCACCCCCTGCACCTCTGGCCTATACCCCAGTTCCCAGTTCTGTGTGCATAAATAAATACATTTAAAAAAATAAAAAGAACTAGAGGATAATGGAATCTTTTTCATAAGATCTTGAAAATTAAATAATAGTGCGATGCCAATACTGGTCAGGTATTGCATCAGCGTTGCTCATTTCCTTCATCCCTGACGCAATCCCCCTTTCCAAGCAAGGAGCAACTTAAACCTGAAGCTTCCTTATTGGAGCAGAACTTCCTAAAAATGTCTGTCGCCAACGTTTTCAGTAAGAGAGTTAGAGGCTCCCAGATACCCCTGATGCCAGTAGGCTCTCCCCCCTTTCTTCCTGTAGGCTTCCTTTCCTGCGTCCTGTAACACAGTGGCGCTCACGTGTGGGGTGCGCAGGGTCGCCAGTCCCCAGCAGACAGTGTGCCGTGCCCTGGGCCTGCTGCCCCAGACACCCCGGGCCAGGGTGCCCGAGAGCCAGGTCCCCGAGACTCAGCCGAGCTCCCCGGCCGCTCCCATGCAGTTGGGTGCTCGGCCCTGAGACAGCGGTATTTTTAGAGGCTCAGGACTTACAGATCCCCGTTTCTACACTTTCAGCCTCCTGTGCACTCAAGCACAGAAGGGCGGATTCCAGAGTCCTCTGTGAGCAGCGCCCACGTGAATGGCTCGCCACTCACTGTGTCTGCGACTCTGAGGCGTGGGGACTCCACTCGCCTCCCGCCTGCAGCTCTGTGGGCGCCAGGGAGCGTGGCCTCCTCTGAGCTGGGCTCCTCCCCGTCTGTGCTGTCTGGTTTGGGGTCCCAGTCCCCTGTCGTCCATTCGAATGTGCGGGGCCGTGTTCCAGGCACCTCGATTTCTTCCCTTGCTCCTCTGTCACTGCTCAGATACAGGATTTCAGACTTTTCTTTTTCTCTGACTGTCTCAGCTAAGTTGGACGAGCTGAACAAGAGGAGCCTGGATGTAAAAGTAGCTCGAGCCCAGCAGGGCTGCCCACAGGCCTGCGCCAGCAGCCCGCGTGAGGTTGCGTTCAGCAGAATCGCAGGAAAGAGTGGGGATGGGGCCCCCCTTTTTTGCTGTGACTGGACTGCTAAGGAATGTAGTGTATTCCTAACATGACACTTTGCCATAAAACATTTTAGAATGTTACATCACATCTGAAAAACTTTTTGGTTCTCTCCAAACATCAGGAGGAGCCTGTTTTTATCTTTCCAAGAGGAGAGCACAGGGGGAGAAAGGCAATTTGCGGTCACAGGCTGCCATCAAACGTCAGGGGCCAGCTTCACTGTGTGGACAGGGCAGAGCTGGGATTCTCGCCTCTCACATCCAACTATGAAAAAGAGAGTTAGAAAATCCATACTTGCAAGTAGGCAACCTTGAAGCTCGTAAAAACCAGGACTGATGTCGTTTCCTGTGTGCAGCAAGCTTCGTGATTTGCAGTGTGTATTTGCAGATTAATATATACTTGCTCCAATCATCTGTAACCCCCAGCGTGTGGGGTGTAAAACCAGCACTTGGGGTGCTCTCTTGGTCAGTGCTCAGCACGCTCCACCCCACGGACGGTGCGTCCTCCCAGGTCAGCTTTCACAGGTAGGCCGGCGTCCTTCGTGGTCCGGTTGGTTCCAGGTGGTCGTAGCTCAGTGCGATGTCCCCGGTCTGATGGCCCTGAGCGGGGGCTCGGTGCTCTCGAGTGTCCCTAGGAGCAGGGGGGCTGCGACGTGCCGGCAGGAGGCCGGTAAATGCTAACTAGGCTCATGGTGAGCGTCTTCGGGCTTGAGTGATGGAGCTGCTGGCCAGAGTCTGCGGATGGAGGACAAGGGACGCAAAGGTGATGTCTTGCAAGCATCAGAGGGGAAAGGGAGGCGTGTCAGGCGTTGGGCAGAATCCCAGCCCCAGTGGCCCCCAGGACATGGGTCAGGGCTTGTTCACTCCCTGTCAGGGCGACCACAGTTACCGCAAACGAGGAAAACGAGGTACACTGCTCAGGTCCAGAATGGAGGAGTTGCGGACAGGTCAGTGCCGCCGTCAGCCAGGGGCCAGTGAGGGGGAGGCCACACCTTTGCGCCGTTCGCTGTCATAAGCCGGGGCCCCTTTACTGACGTAGGGAGAGAGAGGTCGGTCCAGGAAAGACAGTTCTGGAATAGCATTACCGACCTGGTACTGGCCGGCTAGTGGCTGGGTGACTTTCCAGTGGCCACGCAGGGGGCCTGGTGAGTGGGCCCTGCTTGGGCAGAGAGAAGGTTCTTTCCGGGTGTGATCCGTGGCGCGTGGAGGCCACACCCCTCGGGCCCGGGGGCGCCGTGGGCAGGCTGTGGCCGCCGGCTGCACAGGGCTGAGGAAACACCACGGTGAGCGTTCACTCGCTGTGACACAGAGCAGCTGCGCTGTGTCGTGGGGTGCGACCCCCCCCCCCACTCGGCTCAGTGCGACGGCTGCACCATCTAAAGAAAGGGCTGCCGTGCCGAGGTGTCGTGCTGACGGGAACTGCGCTGGCTTTGGTGGGAAGTGCAGTCACTGTTTGGCAGCTCGAGCCTTTGAAGATCCAGATTACGGCCACTTGGAAACTACTGTCGCGGCTACGTGAAAAAAATATGCTTCCAACTGATAAGAATTTGCCATCTGAGCTGTCATTTCTGACAGCAGGACTATGAGAAGCTTAATAATTATTTTAAATAAATAGGTTAGGGCCCTCCCCAGCCGCACAGCAGGTTAGAGTGCAGCACTGTGAGACAATCTGCAGCCACTGCAGCACGAGTTCAATCCCCGGCTGGGGAGCTGACCCACAGGGCGCGGCAGACCTCTCCTGACCCGCCCGCTGCTCCCCTCAGCAGTGTGCTTCGTCCATTTGCCTGTTCTGCTCCCCGCGCTGTCTCTGGTGAAGCCTCTCACCCTCCACACATCTCTGTGCCTGTACCCCAGTTCTTGTATGCAAATATAAATAAATCTTTTTTAAAAAAATAAAACAGATTAGTTCTTTAACACCCATTTACAGTCATCTGTACATGACAAAGCTTTTTGAGGTGTGGTTAGTAATTGTTGTATTGAAGCGTTTCATGCACTGATCTTGTAAAACCTCAGATACAGAGTCTTCTGGCTAGCACAGGAGTGACGCTGCGTTTGGTAAGAAGGAGAAGCGGTCCAGGAGTGTGGAGAGCGTTAAAGCTGGGGATTCTGAAGCTTCTTTCCAACTGGAAAGATGAGAAGGAGTAGAACCTCATCTTACATTGTTACAGTCGTTAAATATGGTCTCGCTTAGGGGACTTAGGTGGTGGGTGCGGTGTGGCGACCTGCCTCTGGAGAGACATGAACCCAGCCCCTCCGTACGGAGTGCTGGAAACCAGCACTCCCCCAGTTAAAGGTAGCGCGGCTGATCAAGGACTAAAGCCTCACCTCATCTCCAGCTGGGGTGGCCTCCTGTCCTCAGCAGGCTTCTGGTGAGCTGGGGAACATTCCCCTGGGCGTGCAGTAAGTTGTATTAATGTACATGCTTCCTCTTCTGCTTCTTTGTAGCTGAGATCGGGGATTTTGATGAAGCATCAGACAGAGAGCACTTAGCAAAAAATAAGTATGTACCTCAGCAGGATGCGCTAGAAGACAAAATTGTGGAATTTCACCATAACCACATGTAAGTCGCATGCTTGGGTCGAGGTCCCCCGAACCTTTGTCTTTATCCTTTTGATGGATGGGTTTGCGCACAGCTTCCCTGTGAGAGCAGGTCGGCCTGGAATTAGAGGGCACCACGCTGGGGAATTGGGGAGCACGCAAGACCCGTTAACAGGAGACCCAGAAAGGCCTTGATAAGCAAGCCACGGACAGAGTTCGGGCTTTGTAAAGTTTTGTAACGGCTCCAAGTTTTTTTTTTTTTTTTTTTAGACCAGTGAAAAAGATGGTCCCAGGAGTCTCTCTGCCTTTTGTTTTTGTTGTTTGAAGGGAGGCTCTCGAGTCCTGAGACAGAGTGACGAGCACCTTGAACTTGGCTTGCAGGCCTAGGTGTATTGTCAGTGACTGAAAACGTGTTTGAACGTGACTGTGTTTTGCTTTTGTATGACATTAAAGGAGACCGAGATTCCAAAAAACCGGGCAAGTTTAGATAGACGTTTGGGTTTTGTGTTACACGAGCCATAAAGCTTCTGACCCGGCCCCTCGACTCCGGGTTGTGATGAATGAGAGCTTGGGTGTCATCTGATGAGGGCCCTTGTTTGTCATGAAATGCCTTTTTATTTCCTAAGAGAAGCTGCTTAATCTCAAGTTAATAGACACAGGGAATTCAAATCTCCTGGCCTTTTGCTTTAATTTTCGTTTTGTCAGTGGACAAACACCAGCAGAATCGGATTTCCAGCTCCTGGAGATTGCCCGCCGGCTGGAGATGTACGGGGTCCGGCTGCACCCGGCCAAGGACAGGGAAGGCACCAAGATCAACCTGGCTGTTGCCAACACTGGGATTCTAGTGTTTCAGGTGAGAGCACAGCCCGGCCCCCGCGGTGATGGAGAGATAGCCCAGGGCCCTCGACGCCGCTTCCCGGCTCGGCTGGCCCAGTTCAGACGTCTGCGATGGAGCGGGCAGAAGCTCACCCCCTCTCAGGCCTGTGTTTCCCAGGCCCTCAGCGTCCAGGCTCCACTCCATCTGCTCTTGCTCCGGTTGGGGGGTCCCTCACTGTAGTTTGGTTTGCATTTAGTGACTGTGGAGAATGAGAGAAAGCTGTCTCTCTCCCCAGCCAGGCTTAGAACAGAGTGTAATGGCATCAAGAATCCAGACCCCCACGGAGGCAGCTTCCTTAGTTGGGGGTACGTTTGACCCACTTCCGGTCCCGCCCATCAGCTTATTCATGACTCGGCTCTGCCTAAGTGAACATGAGGAGCGCCGGGTGGTCTCTGGAGCTACGGCCGAGTCACAGCAATGTCACCGTCCACGCAGGTTCATAGCAAAGGGGACACTGGACTGGGCCCTCGCCTGCGTCTTTCTGAAGGACGAGGTGGTCTCCTGCCTGCTGAGAAGTGTGTCCTTTCGGGCACGGGGCTGTGGGGGTGACCCGCCTGGTCCTTCCCCAGATCACCGGGGCAGGCCAGCGGGCATGCAGGTTATGTCCACGTCGAGATGTGCGGTTGCCTGTTCCCGGGCATCTACGGCTGGGGAGCACACAGCACAGCAGACCACCCGCGTATTGACCCCACCCCAAAAGTTCCCTTTCCTGTTAAACAACTGGGCTGCTCTGTGCTCCGGTTTCAGAGGGTGTGAAGAAAGAAGCTGCCTTTCTCACAAAGTAGGGTCAGATTCTCCCCGCTTTAGAGGGGGCCATGTGATGTACAGCTCCTCTTCACATGCCACTGGGCGTGGGGACACCCCACACGTTTTACAGCTAGTCCCGGGGTGTCTGCTGGGGCATCAGCTGCTTGTGCTGACACCGATGGACATCTCCTCTCCCCGGGCGGTGAGGGCGGCGTCACTGGGCGTCACCGGGCGTCACTGGGAGCAAGAGCTTGACCTGTGCCAGTAATCCGATGAGAAAATGACTCACCAAACGTGGCTGTCTGCCTGAGAGAGTGGGCATCAGAGCCCCCAAACACTCCTGAAGATCGTTCAGGGAGCGCGAAGCGGCTCTGTCCACTCACCAGCTTTGAGCGAGGCTAACGGCGTCTCGCTGCTAAGAGTGGCTCGGTGACGTTCTTGCGGGCAGAGGCGGATCTTGGGGGGTCTTTGTGCCGGGGCCTCCCTCGGGTGCCTACCCACCCACTTCAGTAAATGGCCCCGGGGTCCTGGTTGCCTCGAGGGGAGTCCTCGACAGATGGAAGCTGGGGTCTGGCATGTACTCCTCCCCGGGATGTACCCCACTTCCACAGGAGCCTCCGGAGTCCGTCCCCCAGGCGGTTCTCCAGCCCGGAAGACGCTCCGCAGGCCTGTGCCGGCTTTGCAAGTGCCGGCCAGGGGCCAGCCCAGGGCGGCTGTGGGCTTGCTGTGACTGCCGTGCTGCTTCGGAGGGTTTAACAGCAGCTGCAGGTCAAGGCTGTGCTTGGAGCTGGTTCTGCCGCACACCCCACCTGACCTCGGGCACCCCGGGGCATCTGTGCAGCCTTCAGCAACTCTGCGCAATGCAGTAGTGAATCCCTCTTGCTGGGGCTGTGCTGGGGGTTGATGAGACGAGGCTGTGCCGCCGAAGACAGCGCCTGGCACCCTGCGCCCCGCACTGCCAGTGCAGGGGGGCTGTGGTCTTTATTTCTGTGTCACCTTGAGCTGCCTCTCCTCTCCCTGGAGACCAGCCTGGTTCGAATGCCAGTGGCATCGCTGGTGAGAAACCATGGTCTGGGGGCCGGGGCCATCCCACAGCCAGGGGCCTGTGATTGTCCAGCGGAGGCCTCGCTGCCCGCCCCACAGCACAGCCCGCCAGCCCCCCAGCGCCCCCAGGCAGGGGCCCAGCGGTACTCCCTGTCTCCTAGGGCTTCACTAAGATCAACGCCTTCAACTGGGCCAAGGTGCGGAAATTGAGCTTCAAGAGAAAGCGCTTCCTCATCAAGCTGCGCCCGGACGCCAATGTAAGTGACCCCCGGAGGAGCGGCCCCTGGAAGGCCTGGGGGTGGAGCGGGCTTTGGCTGAAGGGGCAGCCCTGGGCGTGGCAGGCAGCTGTTCGGGTGTCACCAGTGTCTGTGGGGAGACACATGTGTAAGCAGCTGTGTGACTGTCACCTCAGGCACAGGTACCTGCAAAGGACAGGCGCAGTGTCTGCCAGGGGCAGTGCTGACTGCAGACCAGCCCCTCCCGCCCACCCCGAGCTGCCTCTCCAGCCTCTGGCCCACCTGGGGACCCCGTAGAACATTCCACCCCCTTCCATTGTGCCCCGTCCACTCAGCAGCCGTCCCTGCTCTTGTCTCCGCTCCCGACAGCACTTGTCACTGCCTTATCAGACCCTTCCCACGACTCCCAGAAAGCTCTAAATTTGGATGCCCCTCTCACCAAGAACAGGGCAAGGACGAGCAACAGCAGCATCTTCGCCTGCTAGAAGGGGGGGGGGTGATGTGGAGATGAACTCTGTGCGCCTGGGGGCCTCTTCCCATGGGAAAAAGAGATTGTAAATGGCAGTTCGGGCTGAGATGGCCACTTCCATGTGGATTGAGGGCACTCTTCTGGCCTGGCCAGCAGAGCGGCTTTCCGTGAGAAATGCTTTTGAGTTCCAAAGCGCTGGCTTGCAAGTGAAGAATCGCAGTGGGGCTTGTGAGTTGGGCCTGCGCTGCCGGAAGCTGAGAGGGCCCTGCAAAGAGTGGGAACTGCTGGGAATCTCAGGGCCAGTGGGCACTTGTGTTTATTTAACATAGCCACTTAAACTGGGGCCGTTCACGCGGGGGGTAGAAACATCCCAGAACCCCTTCCCAGAATCAGAGGGCGTGAAGCCTTCCACTTTGAGTGATAGTTTTCAGCTCTCCAGTGTATGTCCATGTCCTGTATGTTCCGTGGAGCCACCCTGGGGTGGGGGGTGGGGAGGGGGCCCATATGCTTTTCGATAATAAAAAGACTTAAGGCCAGCATTCAAACTTAGCATGAATCAGGAGGGAGAAAACAAAAAGAAGACTTGTGTTTGTGATTTTTAAGGAGGCCCACAAAGAAGGATTTCAGTATTTGCACTTTTTTTTTAAAACGGGGACATAAGCCAAATAAACACAGTTTGTTGATGAATGCTGTCAAGAGACATGCTTTGGCTTCTGCTTAGTTGCCTGCTTTCTGTTGGTTCCTCTCAGGGGTTCTGTGGGCAGAGTCATTGAATGACAGCTGCATTTTGTCGTGAGCAGCAGCCCTGTGCGTGATTGCACTCAGTTTGTGAAATTGTGCGCGCGCTGTAATGAAGTAGACGGCTCTGTCCCTTTGCTCCTACCTCTGGCGTGTCGGGGTCATGGAAAAACCCGAGTGGAATTTTCTCATTCTAGAGCTCGTACCAGGACACCTTGGAATTCCTCATGGCCAGTCGAGACTTCTGCAAGTCCTTCTGGAAGATCTGTGTTGAGCATCATGCTTTTTTTAGACTGTTTGAAGAGCCCAAACCCAAACCAAAGCCCGTCCTCTTCAGTCGAGGTTCATCGTTCCGATTCAGGTGAGCACTCTGTCCCGGCTCGGCATTCGCCCCACCTGAGGAGCTGAGGTAGAAGTGATGGCTGGGCTGGTGCCCACTGGGCAGACCCAGCAGGCCCCCAGCAGGCCTGGCTCTGTGGAACGTCCTTGGCCCCAGGACCGTCTGCACCCTGCTAGGTGCTCCGTAGCTCCTAGCACTTCTCATTCAGACTCTATAGAAGCAAAAGTGCCTTAGGGACACTTAGTTGGGGCTTCACAAAATGCGCATCGCTTTGCTCTTCCACTCTTTCTTTCAACAAATATGGAAGTCCGTTACAGGGCAACCCCAGAGTGAATTGGGTTGCCTGGCTGTGGGCCCTCACCCATGCACTTACAGGAACTTGAAAGATTCAACTGCAGGCACACACAGAAAGGTTAATAGTGGGTTTACTTACAAAAGAAAGGGAAGTGAATAACTCAAGGAAAGAGGTGGGGGGGGCTAAGTTGGTGAATGTGTCCTACCAGTTCTGCTGACCTGGAACCCCAATAGCATACTGAGAGCTGGTTAAAAGCCAAGAAATAAGCCATGAGCCACAGAGGCTGAGAGACCCCCCCCAAAGCCCACATGTCTGGTTTTATACCAAAGCTGGTGGCTTAACCCCACCCTCAGGTCCCAGAAATTCTCCCTGTGGTCATTCCAGTGTCTGGGGTGGGGGTGGAGATACAACACCTGTGTCTGTAGAGTTCCTTCTCCCCTAACATGTCCATTACCCTCAACGGCATTGAGGATCTAACAGTAATCCCACCTTCAGGAAGCATGCAGACACTGGGAGGGGGGTTCTGGGGGGCTGCTGAATGAACAAACATACAATGGTGGCGGGGTTCAGTGTGCTGAACATCTGTTATTCAGAAGGGAAATACCCAGAGATAGAACAGACCACATTCAGGTCCCCTTAGAGGGCCTTCTTTGCTGGGAAAACCCACGTCTCTGGGGGAGGGCGGGAGGGCGTGGAGTGATGGCTGCTTGCTGCATGTGTAGTAAGAACACCTTGGTGCCCCCTCCCCATCTCCCCTGTCTCCCCTTGCTCTCAGCGGCCGGACACAGAAGCAGGTTCTTGACTATGTTAAAGAAGGAGGACATAAGAAGGTGCAGTTTGAAAGGTAAGGCCTGCTCATCGCCACTTCCCATGGGAGAAGAGGCGTTCTGGCTGGGTACCAGGGTGTGGCTGCCTAGTCCAGGCTCCGTGAGCGAGTTACTGCTGCACCCCAGTCTGGGCAAGGGTCGTGGTGGGCTGGGGGCCCTGACCGAGGACAGAGGTGAGATAGGCGGACAGAGAGGACCGAGCCAGCAAGGAAGCTGGTTGAGGGCAGGGGAAGGGAGAGAAGCTGGAAATCCAGTGGGGTGAAGGGTAAGTTGCTCATTGGTGAGGCTTTAGGTGTTTTTAAGATTTATTTTGTTTTTTTATGCATGTAAGAACGGCGGTTAGGCCAGGGGTGCGGGGGGGTGAGAGGATTCCCCAGGGTGGGGAGCAGAACAGGCGGATCTACTGAAATCCACCGCCGAGGGGAGCAGCGGAGAGACGGGAGAGGTCTGCTGCACCATGTGGGTCACCTCCCTGGCCGGGGATCGAACTCCTGCTGCAGTGGCTGCTGATAGCTTCATAGCACTGAGCCTTAACCCCTGAGATCCTAAGGTCTTAAGTATCTGGGCACTGGAAGTGAAAGTATTTCTATAAAGTTTTTGAGGAAAGATGGTGGAGATGAAAAGATGCGTAGTATCAGAAAAATCATAAAACACCAAACAGGATGAGTACATCGGAGCTTATTTTATGTGTTAACTCGGTCTTCAGGCCCCCTCAGGGAGGCCGCTGCTGTGTGAGTCCCTACTTGAAGATGGCCCTGCGGCTCAGGGGTCGCGTGCCTGGCTGGTCGCTGGGCTCCTGACGGTGACCTTGTGCACAGCCCTGCCCCGACGGGATATAGGCTCCCAAGGGAACCAAGATGAAAGCTTACAGGAGACGGGGTGGTGGGGGGCAGACCTCTGGGGTGTATGTGGTCTGATTTAGACCAATCTCTTCCATTCTAATACACTTATAAATTATAATAAAGGACAAGGGACAGAGTAGACACCCACTTCCGCTCCTGAACAACTAGGAACATTCTGGCAAATCGCTGGACGTTCTTCCTCTTTTGTTTGTCCTCATTGTTACAGATGGGGCTCAGCCCCCTGGATCCAACAGCCTCTTTTCCCTCCTCCCTCCCCGGAGGTCACAGTTTGCCTGGGCAACATTCCTGCCCACCCCTGCGAATTAGCCAGCGATGGTCGTCTGCTCTGTGGGATCCGTCTAGAAAATCCTTTCCCAAAAGACGGACTCGGTGTCTCAGAGCGTTGTTTGCGACTCGGCCTCGCCGCCTGGCAGAGAGCCTTGCCGAGCGCCTTACGCACGGTGCAGGTCACGCACCAGCCACACCGTTGGTGCAGGAACGGTGGGTCTCTCTGTTGGCAGCGTTTGCCAGGACGGCTCTGGGTGTCTTTATGATGGAGGCAGGGGCCTCGTGCTGGTACTTTTCACTGAAAGAAAACAACCCACTCCGCTAACGCCAACCATCTCTGCAATGTCCCCAGGAAACACAGCAGGATCCACTCCGTCCGAAGCCTGTCCGCGCAGCCCGTGGAGCTGAACTCAGAAGTGCCAAAGCAAGTCAGTAGCCGCCAGGCACCCTGGCATCACAGCACTGTGCCCGCCCCGCCTCCTCCGCTGAGCTCTGGTCCCAGATCTCGCTCTGCAGCTCTCGGGCTCCCCTCTACGGGCATGTTAAGAGAACACAGTGGAGCTGCGTGCTCCCGCCTTGGGCCAGAACACGCCCTGTCCCCCACCCCACCCCCTCGTGCTCCCCGCCTGGGCTCAGCGGAGTTGGGCACCACGTCCTTTGTCAGCGGACCGTCCGTCTTCTGTGCCCGGCTCTGTGCCACTGAAAGTGGGCTCTGTTGGCCCCGCTCAGGGTGGAGGCAGAGGCTGGTAGGGAGCCGAGAGAGCTGAGTCCACCCTCCGGTTAAGTGAGCGTGTTTGTGCTAAGCGAGGGAGACCTGAATGCCACCTACGGGCGCAGCTCCCGCCCGGGGCCAAGATCAAGGCCTTCTGCTGGCAGAAGCTGGGTGGTGAGTTCCCAGGGTGTGTGTTACGACACAGCGACCTTAGAGACCTTTCCGCCTGTGCTCCCGGGAGCTCTTTTCCCTGGAGCTGGTCTCTGGCTGAGTTGCTGGGGTTTTCTCGGCCAGAGAATAAGAACTTTGCGGGGGAAGAACACGAAGCAGGTTTCACTGAGTCCAAGGACGGCCTCGACCTGTCCCGCCTGCCTGCCGAAGCGCAGGCAGCAGCTTTTGTCTGAAATCTGTCAGCTGGTCTTTGGGGGGGGCGGGGGTCCTGGGGTGGGCTCTCTTCCTCTCCCTGCCCGCCTCCCCCAGGTGGCCCCGCTGTGGGCCGCACGTGCTCCAGGTGTCCCTCACGGCTGCTCTGGGGACCTGCACTGCCAAAGGGCTTCCACGCCCGGAGAAGTCGTCCCTGTCCCAGCCCGCTCACGGCCACCGGTGCCACGCGGCTCGGGGCGGGGAACCTCGCGGTGACCATCCGCTGGGCCTCTTGCAGCTGGAGGAGAAGCTGCCGTTAGCTCAGAATCTGCACGCGCTCTCCAGCTCTGACGTAACAGTCTCCCTCTTCTCTCCCCTTCCCCTTGTCCTTTCTGCTCCCACCCCAGGCCCTGCAGAGCGCCAGCTCCACCCTCAGAGACGGCGCCGAGTCCCCGGGGGCCCAGCGCGGCCGGCGGACCCAGGAGCCGCTCGCGTCCCAGGACCCGGGCAGGCCGCCCGCCAGCCCCGCTCCACGCCGCAGCCCAGGGGGTAACAAGCAGGCCGACGGAGCCGCCCCGGCCACGCCGGAGGAAGAGGAGGAGGTCGTTAAGGATAGGACCCAGCAGAGTAAAGCTCAGCCCCCGCAGCCAAGCACAGGTCCAGCATCCCGGGCCACTCGGGGCAGCAGCGCCTCCATTCCGTTCATTGACTGCAGTGACGTAGATAGCGAATACGACCTGCTCAGGGAGCCCGCGTCCCGGTCGCGCGCCCAGACAAATGACAATGAGGAGGGTGATGTGACCAGTGGTGTCTATCTGCTCTCCAGGGAGGAGAGGCGAGGAGGAGAGGCGAGGTGCAGGGCCTCCCCCCAGTCTGTGAAGTCGTCCTGGCCTCCTTCCAGAGAATTCCTCGATGACGATTCAGCAGACGTCACCTTTGATATTAGCGGGAGCCCCTGCCTCCCCAGACATAGCTCTCTGATAGACGAGATTTTCCAGGGCTTGAGCGCTCGCAGTCCCCTGAGCACCCCGTTGTCTCCCAGCAGCAGAAGCTCAAGTCCAAACAGGAGTTGGGACAGGACCGGGTCTCAGGGCTATATTTCGGGAAACGGGCAGGACCCGAGAGAGAGGAATCTGGGAGAAGACGATCTCCCCGGCCAGGGGCCTCTCCCCGAGCACTGCTCCCCGACCTCTCGCAGGCCATACTTGCGCCACCTTCGGAGTCCGTACAATAAGTCCGAGACAGACCCGCTCATCCTCAGCCAGGTGGCAGCCGCCCCGGAGGCCCTGGGGTACCTGGATGGCCGCGGGAGGGCGGGGCTGGCCGGCCTGGCTGGTTCGGAAGGCCGGGTGCTGGCTAACGGGGCGCCCCCGGTGGGCCCGATCTCAAAGATGCCCACCCTGCCCTCAGTGTGTGCCCTCAGCGGTGCGGGGGGCCAGCCGGCACCCCTGCACGCGACCCAGAGCTCCACCAGCAGTGGCACTGAGTCCGGCGAGTCAGACTGTGAGATGGGGAGCCCCTCGAGCCCGCACCTGATGTTCTGTAACCCCGGGGCGCTCGGCTCCCCTCCCATGCCCAGAAGTAAGGACTCCTTGGGTGGCCTGCGTCTGCGTGAGGAGCGAGAGGAGGAGGACTGAGGTTAGAAGTCGCGTGTGGAAGTCTTGGCCGCCGGGAGTCAGGTGTCCAGGGTTTCAGTAGAGATGATGTGTTCTAGTGACACGTTAATTTGTAGTCAACATTTGTGAGAAAGTTTGGGACAGGCGCATGTTTGACTGTAGAGGGCCTGCCTAGCTTCTAAAACGCCCAAGAAAAACAAAACTTGCTTTCCGAAATAAGGTGGACAAGATAAGCAGCACATCGTGATCAAAATGCCAGGAGCAGGTTTATCTCTCAGGGTGAAGCCTGGGAAGATGGTCTTTGTTCCTAGCCGATCACGTGTCCGGTCGGTTCCTGCTGTGTCTGATTATGTCCATCACCCTCCCCTTGCCTGGGTGTTGGGGCTGACTGTCGTTGAGATTCCGGGAAAGGTGTCTGTTTCACTTTCCCCCCCTTCTTTAAGAGGAGGGCTGCTTTTCTGTGCCTCATCAAATGAGAAATTGACAAAATTCAAGGCCAAATGTAAGTTGATTGTTTGCGGAGATCAAGTGTGGGTGAAATCGTAGTCAAGAATAATGAATATTTCAATGGGCAGAATTGGAAGCTATTCTCTTGTGATTTCGCATAAAAGTTCGAAAGGTGGTCAGCTCTTTGTGATCTGAACTTGCATGGGGTGGCTGCTGTGCTTTGGGTTTGTCTTGGTGGGTCAAGTTAAAGTTTTGTTTTGATAAGTGTGACCGGCGGCCAGGATCTCAGTCAAGCACAGAAATGCTTCTGAGCGATGATGCAAGGAAAGGAAGACCTTGCGGTAGCGCTGTTGTCCAGGAGGTGGGCCTGCCCGCGTCACGCCTCGCGCAGAGAAGGACCGCTCTTTGGTGTGTGCACACAGTGACGCACACGCATTCTTACTTTTCTCACTCTTGTGAACGGTGACTTCCAGATGTTTTCCTGTGCGGGGAAAAACGAAGGTGTATGCAGTGAGAGGTTTGATTTCTTTTTAACTCTTGCGCACCTGTGCCAGTGCCTTCACCCAGCGTTCCTGCCATTTGAAAGGAAGAACCCGGTGTAACTTGCATTGTGTCGTGGCCTTAGCTGCACTTTGGAGCCACCTGGGACTTTCTCACGTGTAGTGATGCCTGGGTCCTGACCCTAGAAATTTGAATCTCATTAGTGCCATGTCGATTACCCAGATGGATCTGCCGACAGCCAGGCCCACTTCTCAGCAGGTGTAATCGCCTTTCCAGACTCTAGTAGAAGATGCTGAAAACGATAGCTAATTATTGGACTCGCTTACTGAGTTAAGTATCACAAATGAAATGCTTTTCTTAATGACTATTATTTGGTACTTTTCAGTCTTTGGTACTTTTCTAAGAAAGATAAATTGTGGAATGACATTTTTGGATCCCAAGTCACTGCAAAGTTGTTGAAAAGAGTTGTAGCAATGCAAGACCCCGGCTCGTGCTGTGCCGGGGCCTCGCTCAACTCACGTGGTTAGGTTCTCTCTCACAGGGAGAGCGTGGCATGCTGAGGAAATTGTGTAGAATTTGGCAGTGGGTGTCACGGATGGAAGCATTGACCGATCTTGCAGTTCACAAATGTTTATCTGTTCACATGAAATCAAGAAGCTGGTTTTGAAGAATATGAAAACTGAATCTACTTTTCTATAGACTTTTTGACTTTTCTTAATCATTTGATTCAGTGCATGATTGATGAATCAACCCGATTATTGTGTAGTCTGAGAGATGTTCATTGAAGTCATCTATTTATGTCTTGCTTTAGATTTCTCTATTGACCAGAATCATAGAATTTTAAAAGTAGAAAACCTTGGAACTCCTCTACAGTGACCCTTCTTTTTATGGATGAGAAATCCTGTCCTGACGAAGAGATTCACCTCTAGTGCATGACCAAGTGACAGCTAGAACCTTCCTCTGTAGACATCAGCTTTTTACTCTGTGACATTGTATGCAATAGGATCTTTTGTGATTCGGTATTTTAACTTGAGAATCTTGTATGGGTTACTAAGTAAAGTCTTGTGGATACCAGATTCCTGTAGACTTGAATCAGGCAACTACAGTTCCTGATAGGTAGGAAGTACCTACTGTTTTTTTACATCGTGGGGTTTTGCAGTTATAACATGTATTTGCAGCTTCTGTTTGGAGTTAGAAAAAGATGTCTATTTGCTATATCTTTAGTCAAATGTCAGTTAAGCAGAGTCACATTTGAAATCCTGTGGTTTCCTTGTGAAGGTGATTTATCCAGATGAGTTTTTTTTATCTCTAATTATGCAGCAGTCTGGTAATAAGGTATGAATGAGTGATGTGTATTAGTTGGCCTGCGTAGAATGCAAATCAGCTGTCAACCTCCACAGCAGAGAAGTCTCCTAAAGGGTTGAGTTTTATCAAAAGTGTTTTTAAAAGCATCTGATCAGCGGAGGTGGCCCGAGTCCTCGAGGTTCTTGCACCAGCGCGTGCCTGCCTTCCTGCGGCTTGCCCGGATGTAGGAAAGCAGCAAGCAAGCCAGCGTGACGGATGGTGCCATCAAGACGGGACAGTTTGTTCAAACACCGCATGTCCTAAAGAACTCCGCCTTCACCGATAGGTTCTAGGGGAGCAAAGATTGTAGGAGAGGGTAGCCTGGCCTGTTGACGTGCTGTGGTTTCCCTGTGCGCAGAGCTCAGGGAAATGACCAGCCGTCACCAGCCCACCTTCCACACCCCCAGGTCTTTACTGGCCTCGCAGTCACATTGAGGGGTGAACGCAGGGTGTGGAGGGGACCACAGCCCACAGGGAGACCGGGCCGCGCGCAAGTGAGGAAGAGGTGGCAGAGGTTAGAGGCTAATGAGTCCTTCAGGTTTCCAAAGATGTTCCCCAGACCTGTCCCCCAAATTTCTCTAGTCCAGTAGCTAGAGGAGAAATACCCCACATCACCCAGGACCCCAGTCTTGAGCTGATGACGACTCCGGGAAATGGCGTCTTCGGGCCTTCGGCTGGAAGACAAACCATAAATGGAAACAGAAATCATTGTGCTCCTCAGGGCTGCCCAGGGTTCCTTGACTCATATTTCTTCTTGTTAGGTAGTATATCAAAATATGTACCCTGTAGACCCTTCTGTGGTTGATTTTGTTGCCGCTTGTTCAGGATACAATAAAAAAGCAAGAAATTCTTTGAGCATGAAGAAATACATTTAATGAGTTCCAGAACTTAAAAACGTATCGTTCTGGCCCCATTAACGGTCATCTGTAGGCCACTGACGTTATTTTATGAGACAGGCATTTAATTAGAGGAAGTCTGTGGGCCAGATTCTTCCCACACATGTGATTCATCTTGGGGACTTTCTCAGCCATCTCTCACTCCATTGTGCCACGTGGCTTGCCCTTAAAATGGGATTGCTTTTGACTTTATTCTCAAGAACTTCTCCAAAGATTCAAATCATGCCGGGCTAAAAATGCCAGGCCCGCAGAACTGAACTGCAGCGTGAGCCTCTTGCTGAAAGCTTCACGTGGGCAGTGCACCGGGCCCAAGTGAATGAGAAGCCGCACTGGCCTCTCGGCCCTCTCATCACTGAGATGTGTCTTGCCCAGTCATTCCTAAAAGAGGAGGAAATTGAAGTACTTAATTCTCTTTCTGAAAGGTCGTTTAAAACGGCGCGCACAGGTCTGCAGTCTGAGTACACATGCGCTCACCAGCTTTTCCATTTAAAATGTAACTCCACATTTCCACTCAGAAGTGTGCAGGCCACCTGTCACCATTCATGCCGTTAGGCTGCAAGCAGGCTCAGCCTTAGACTGAGAAATTTGGGGCGCCCTTCATCGTTAGGTCGCCTGGGACTGGATTTGCCCCCATCTCGGCCACACCTCTCTGCAGAGACCCTGTTCTCATTAACCTGCCTCTCAAGGGAGCTCAGTTGTATCCCCAAGCCACACTATTCTCTGGATGCTCCCCCTTGCCGTCTGCAGTCGTCAAGGGTTTCGTTACCTTCTGTCTGGCCTCCGGTTTCAATACCAGCATAGTGCTGAGCGTTTACAAGTCAGACACAAAGCCTTCTATGCAATCCCCACGAAT